ATAGGACGCATATTATAAAAAATATAAATACTTACTAAAAAATCTTTAGGTACCAATATAATAAAACTATTGTAAAATATTAGAATGATATTGATTAAATTGTTATAATCATCATAAATTAAAAATTTTAAATTGTGATATGCATACTATAAAAGAGTTTCTTATTAAAACAAAGTACCTACATAAATATTAAATAATTATATACCTATATTATATAAATATGTACGTATATTACAGTCACGCATAATATTCCACAAAATATGCTAATCGATTTTAGACCTTGCGTGATTTACTTATGAGTATTCTATGATAGTGGCGTAGTGAATTAGTTCATAATACAATAAGTGTAACTATAAAAAATTATGCTGCTGTATGAAAATACAATTGTAAAATATATTAAAGAGATTCAATTTAGCCATTTAAGCGATTTTACTAAAATTTAAGAGTAAAACAGATCGAAAACAATATTTTATCAGTTCGGTACTTATCTTTTTTTGAAATTTGGTGTCTACGAGTTAGTTTCAGGTTTAGTTAGGAACTTTTCTCACATTTTAATTGTTTCATATAATTACATTAACAATTATTTTACCAATAACGGTACTTATGCTTAATGCCAAGAACTACTACTACAAGTATTATTACTTTTAAAATGTTTTCTAAATTCAAATGTTCTTACAAATATGATTTTTTTTTTTTTTTACTTTAATTGAAAATTGATGAATTTGATATTAGTGTTGTTGTTGTGACGGTTTAAAGAATCACCTCGTTGGATAAACTGTATCATATGGAATAAGTTTATGAATTTATGATTCATTCTTACTATGTCATTAAATATCTGAAAAATATTATTTAACTTTTTATGATATATCCATAATCAATTTAAAATTTAAAGAACTTGTTTTAAATTTAATTTTGATCAATTTTAGACAACGCGTCGATAACGTTATTCACAAACTACTTGATTAATTTTTACAGGTGTTGATACAGATAGTTTGTATCAAATAGCGGTACATGTAGAGATAATATATTAGTTTTATCTACATGGATATTGGCTAAATGTTATTATACATTTTTGTTTTTTAAAAAGCCTCTCTGCCATTTCAAGTAATAATAATATAGGGATACTATTTTAAAGATTAACGCTCATTTTCTTGAATAGTATGAATATTTTTAGAAATATTTTTTTTTTTTAATATAGTTTATAATAATTAAATTATTTTAATATTTTTGAAAAAAAAAAATATTTAAGTTTCTAAAGAAATCGAAAAATATTTATTGATTTTATAGTGATCTATGCTTTTTTATTTTTATATCTGAAGGTAGTTTTTCTAATAGAAAAAATATTCTAATCATCAAATCCAAGGAAAGTTTTTCGTATAACATTAGATATACTATACTTTGGTTAGTACTTTTGGGAGGTTAAAATTTAAAATTCATAGTGTTTTTTAAATAATCTTGGGAGGGAGGAACTGTAACATATGTTATTACCTATATATGTATAAATATTAAACATGATACATTCATATTGATATACATTATATAATTGACCAACACAAAAATACACAACTCGAAACTTTTTACTCTGTGTTAATTATTATTTAATATTAAAGTGACATACATTAGTTGATTTCAACATTCATCATCAATACGAGCGAACTCAAATACTTATATCCTACACAATTATTAACAGCCATCATCATGTTATTCATTTTATTATTTGAATTAAATTAATTATTATTTTAGATATATAAACTAAACGTGTAAAAAAATTGTTGCACAAGTGCTCAAACCCCCAGCAGCGGAAAATTTATCCAAAAGGAATGGAAATTCTTCTTGGATAATTAATATCGTAATAAGGTTCCACCAACCACATTACAAAAAAATTGTTAAAATGTTTATATTATTTTTAAATATTTATTTAATAATCTTGGTTATCAAAATTTTACCTGTTTTTGCCATAGTTCTGAAAATAGGATATTATACGAAGTGTGCGCTTGCATCATATATCTTACAGTTTACAGGCTTGGAGCAGACATTTTTATTTTGATGAGCATATAATATGACTACTGACTAGTAATCCCAAAATAACACTTTTTAGAAGAATTAAAAATAAAATATATGTATATAATCACGATATATATTTCCGGATTAATTGTACGACAAGAACTATGCAAGTATATTCTTTTTAATAAACGCGCCTTTATAAAAATATGTTTTAATATTTTGACATAAAAATATTTATTAAAAAATCTAATGTTTTCCAATAAGAAGTAGTAACAATAATATTGTTAATCATAAATATGTTTAAAATAATGATATATAAGCATTTATTTAGTGGCTTATTTTTTTTATTTTTAGGGATAATATTTTATCAGTTGTATATCGTGCGTCAAAGAGACGCGAACACTTAAGGTCTTTGCCCAAAATCGTTTTTATTGTAAATAATGATTTATTGAAGTCAAATTTAACCGCCTATTCAACAAAAAGTTTAATACTTTCAGTGCAGTAGAGCATTTACCAGCTTAACGGGTTTTTAAATTATTATCTTTTGTTAAGCTTTTTTTTCTTTTTTATTCATCATACATTTTTTATTTCATACTTAAAATAAAATATTTTTTAAAGGCATACAAATATCAATACACAATAATTAAAAACTGACTAAAAGTATAAGTATTTAAAGATAATATGTACGAATTAGTGAAAATATTTTGTAGAATACACTATTGTGCTTTTTCATTCCGTTATCTACTCAACTACACTTTAAACAAAAACTTATAAAGTTATAGATATGACTAATACTAATGATTTGTAACTATGTACGAGTATATGATGAAATACTCAGAAAAATATTGAGCATTCGAATATGAAATTAAAAATATACATTGACATTCAAAACAATAAAAATGTTAGTAAAGAGGAAACTACTATTGGTAATGAAAAAAATATTTTTTTTTTTTAATGACTGGTAAGTACCTACTTACTTGAAAATTTCAAGTATTTACGGTAATTCGTTATACTTAAAGGCCATTAACCATATTTTCAAATTCTTGAGATTTAATATTGTATACTTAAAGAGTATCATATGGTACAAACCCTCTTTTAAACAGTTAATGTTGTAGCGGATAATTTATTTGTAAACACTGAATTATTAAAATCAAAATATTTTAAATTAAAATAAAACTTATTTAACTTAGTATACGAAGGATATTAGGTCCTTGATAATGGGTTTGAAATAGAAATGGGGATATCAATGGTAATTTTAAAATTGTCAGTAATTTATATTTATCATTCAATATTTATAATTTTTTTTAAATGGCTAATGGCTAAAGTATAACAAATACTAGATCTGATATTACATCTATTATATATATTTGAAACTTTAATCTTGGTAGCTATGGCCATTAGCTGTAGGTTTTTGTTTTTTGTTATGATAGAATTTTGAGTTATGTGTTGTTTTATGTAGAATATAAGCTTTATCTGATAAACCTGGCTAACAACGCCTGACGGTGCTCAAGTGTAGCACTAATCAGTGATTGCAGTCACACAAAGTCTCGATTTTTATTTTTTGTAAACCATATTTAAAAACTTTAACTCTTAATATAAACAAGTTAATATTATTAAAAAACTGAAAAATCGTTCGAATTTTAAAATAGATCTTTGTTCAGTATATGTAATTAAAAATTCAAAAAAATTAGAATTTGTATGAATTTATAAAATTAGATGAAAAATTAGAGGTAAGCGTGCTTAATGAATCATCTTTTATATTAATATTGTTGCTATTACTTGTTTTAATATATATTACGTGGAAGTTTTTATAATTTACAAGTAAATACATCGTAATTATATATCTTAATTTTGTAAGTATTGTATTCAATACATTTAATACTTATTGAAGAAAAACAATTTAATTAAGTTAAGTATTTAAGTATATTTTAAAAATCACTAGCGGACTGCATATTATTAGCATACTTAAAATACAATTTTTCATGTATGAGTGTCTTTTTAGCTTAATTATTCATATTTAAATAGTAAGTTTTAAAAAAAGAAGGTAAATCAGGGCAAAATTTGAAGCGAGTAAATACTAAATGGGATAATAATAAATTCAAGTATTGCATTATAAAAACCTTATGATTAAACAAATTTATCTTATTCAAAAAATTATATTATAAAATATAATTTGTTTCTTATTAGTTATAACTTATAATGAATAGTTATTATACATATAATTTTTATTGGTACCTATAATAATAACTTTCATTTTAGGATATTTTTCATCAAGTTGCAAGTATTTTTTTTAATCATTGTTAACCAAATAAAAATTACCCAAAAATAAAAGAAATATTATGGTATAAAATTAATTATGTAGTAATTATACTACCTAATATAAAATATAAGTAAATTAGTAAATACCGAATAGGATATCTATAAATACATTTAACACTTTACAATACCTTATAATTAATCATATTATTTATATCATTAAAAAAAAGTTATATTTTAACCTGTAAATAAATATAATGTATAATAATACTAACTTCCATTTTAGGATATTTTTCATCAAGTGGCATGTATATTAATCACTGCTCACCTCATGAAAAGCACCCAAAAATAAAAATAACATTTGTTATGATATATAATTATATAAATGTAAAATATGAATAAATACCGAATAAAATAAATATAAATTCAAATATAACTCAACAAAACAATTGATTGTATAATACATTATCTCTTATAATAAATATCCATACATATAACAGTTTAATAATACAATTCAAATCATTTTTTCTTACAGGTACTACAACATAGAAGTATTTAAAACATTATCGTTAAAATGGTTTTCCATAAAAATAGTAGAACAACTTGGTAATAATAATTTCTTACAATGTTTGAAATTAAAGTTGAAATATATGTGTATATAATAACTGTTTGTACATTTTAGTTATAAAAAAAAGTACACAATGTAATTTATTTTCTGTTGAGGATCAATATTTATAAATATAAATGTATTTAAAATATATGATAATAATAGGTACAAATGTATACTACGTATGTATATATATTTAAAAAATAAACTGCCGTCGGGGTCACCACACATGGAGGATAAAAATTCTGGTCGTAAGGAATATGCACCACACAAACCTCTCTAGAACCGAATTTGTCGCCGTTTTTCAAACAAATTCGGATCTACAGGGTAGATGTAGAGCATCACTACACCGAAGACGGACGATTTCCAAACCGTCGTGTGCTGATGAACATTGGTGGCCCTTTATACAGTGACCACACGACCGAGTGATACTCTGAAACAGTATATAAAAACAAAAAAGTTGACTATATTGTGTGAAGATAAATCATAACATAAAAATGAAATAAAATGAAATAGAAACTATTTCGGAAAAAAAGTAAAAGATCAACGGCAGTTAATTTAAATCGTATATCGTATATAAATATTTTGCGCACGCGTATGGTATTCGCACAACAACTCTGTGCTGTCTATCCGTGATTTCATCGTGTTAGTCATCGCTATCGTCCCCTTTTTACACATGACCGCGATGTGTCAACGAACTCTCTCCCTTCACTCTGCATTACACACGCAAAATAAAAAGGGTCGCCGCGTACATTCAGAGGGGTCCGCAATTTTTTTTTTTTTTAATCTCGTTTTCTAGTATTATTATTTTTATTTTTCTCTCACATAACGACAACGACAACGACGACAATTACCACTCGCTTACTTTCTCTCGCAACGATAAATCGTTTATAGAGAAATAAAAACAAAAAACACGACACACGCGCAAGTATAATATATTATATACGCGACACACCCCTACGCCCCCGCACTCCTCTCCGCCGCCACCGAAAAGGGTGAATCGTGCATTCGCGATCAATACTCTATGATGATGAGGAACGGAGGTGTTGTGAGGCGTTGGCGTCGACGGCGGCGACGTTGGGCACGAGCGCCGCTGAATGCAAATTACTCAGCGCCGGGCGAGTGTACTCCCCTACCACCACCCAACGCGATCCCACCACCCACCCACTTGCCATGACCAAGCTGCTGACCGCCCTAGCTGCAGCCCTTCTCTCGCGACGCGCCTAATCTCCGTGAACGCACGCGATCCGTACGTTTATTAACCGCCACCCGGTTTCCGTTATGTATAATAAAGTATTTGAATATAAAAAAAAAAAAAAAAAAATGATCAAACCCTCATTGTGTACATGGGTATTAAGGCATATATATATAAACTGTATACTATAACTATATATATATATATATATATATACATATAACTATTATAATAACCATCTGCACCCGATTCATAAAATTACAACAATATTGAGTATATGTAATATGCATATTCTACAAGTATATTTTATATTTAATTTAAGTTATTTTATTTTATATATGTGAAATTATAAATATTGAAAAAAATATTAGATTTTAATTAAGTTAAAAGTATAAAAAATTAAAAATTAAAATATAATTCTGAGAATATTTTTCTTCTTGATGTTTAAATACTATATAAGTAATAATGTGCAATATATTATATTATTACTATAAAAATAAACTATGTACGTAATAGTGTACAATATTATATATAATAATGTATTATCACAAAAAAAAATATAGTAAAACGTTAAGTTATGTAAACGTATTGAGAAAAAATAAACAGATATAAACAAATAAAAATATTATTTAAATCATTAAAATAAAATAAAATGTCTGAAAAGTGTTCATGCTTACCATACAGTCGCGTAGTACGACCGGACAGTAGCAGCAGTGGAGTGTACTGCTCGGTGAGTGAGTCATCACTGGAGGCGACAACAACAGTGCGAGAGAGGACCAGCTCGCTGGCTGCCGCTGACCAGAATGAAGTGAGTGAACAGCCGTGTTGTCTGCCTAGAGTCTGTCGTCGAAGTATCGCACGTCGGGCGTTGGTTTTTCGGGGTTGCTCGGTGGTCCCGGCTCGTCGGGCTGTATCGATCGGGGCAACGGCGCGCCCTTTTCTCGGACGCAGGACGTGCGTGGAGGTAGGACAATTTTCGACCAGTGCGCTGCCTGGTGGCTACGCGCAGGGGTCATACGCAGACTCCCACTGTACACATCTTCCTGCGATCGGCGACCCTTCCGAAATCATCCCTCCGAATTTCACCCCGCCAAATAACCCTCGTCGACGCCGCGGTCTTTGCCGTATTTCGTCCACTACATACTTCGTCTTGCTCAGCAGCTAACCACCGCTACTACCGGCTCAGCCGCCACGCACCGCCAAATGCTCGGTCGCTCACCCCCTAACCGACACAATGCGCTCTGCTCGACCACTCCGCCGATGCGATCATCTGACCCTCCTCGCGCGTGTATTTATGCAAAGCTCGTAAATTACTTCTTCTTCTTCTCCTCCTCCTCCTCCTCCTCCACTTCTCCTCCTCCTCGTATACTACCACTATACTTCTTCTCCTTCTCATCCTATTCCCTTTCTCCTTCCGCCCATACTTCCTACCTCTCTCAAGCCAACTGCTGCGTATATTCTATACTCGAACCCCTTGCGCACACGATCTGCTCTTTTCAACCCTCTTCCACTCTCTGCTGTAGCCGCTCCCCTAAACAGACACACACAAACTTTACTATGTATATATAATGTTTATACATATATATATATATATACATGGAGCTCTCGGCAACGACTACGATATAGATAGGTGGGTGGGTGGTAATGAAATTTGGTGTCGTTGTGGTGGTGGACGGGTAGTAGTATTTTTGAGAGTGAGTTTATCTCGGGCATCGTCCTCATCCACGGTAACGGGTGTTAAAAAAAAAAAGGAAATTTCATATATGTATTATACACGTAGTCTTTGCCTTTGTGTTGTTTTTTGTGGGCTTGCTAATTGCCTTGATGTAATCAAGAACTTGAAAGCGACCTTTAATGCCACCGTGATGTACTCTGCAAAGTTGTATAAGATCGTTTCATGTATTATATTATGGTGTTTTTTCTTTCATACTTCTGTTCTTTATTCTGATGCTTTTTACAAATATAGTTCAATATATTATGTACATTAAAGTGTGTTTAATTTTATATTTTGATTATTATAAAAATATGGTAGACGTGGCTGTATAAATAAAAATTATTAGACTAATAAATTCAATACTTAAATATTATATTTTAACAAGAATAATGCAGAACAACCGCTAAGAAGAGGATAATATTAGATTGATGACGGTGTTGACTAATGTGGTATTTAATTATACAACATATTATAATGTGTGATATAATGGCTTTAGAAACGATTTCAATGTACAACTACGTTAGTGGAAAACTGCATTTGATTGGCGTGAAAATTGCAATTGGAGACTATTGTACAACATGGGAATCTTTAATATATGACGTGTGTGTTACGTATATGAAATGATCAGGGTTAAAATATTCTAATAATAAATAAACTAATATTTATTAGTTTTAAATACTTTTAATAACTATTTTAATATATTAAAAAACGTATTAAGTATATATATAATATAATATTTATATTTATATAAATTATTTATCAAAAATAAAATGTAAAATATACGGGGTAATAACAATTTTTTTTAAAATTCAGAACTGAGCAAATTATTTTATATTACAATAAGACTTGAAAATAAAATACAAATAATAAATATACAAGGTTTTACTGAAATCCATAAATCTAATATTTCGTTGGCACAATTTTGTTTATAGACATTTTAAGTTTACATTTCGATGAAATTAAACATTTAATTCAGCTAAAATAACGCATTAAATTATTCTAGCTTAGTTTAAAAATATTGTTCGTAAGTACTTGAAACAAGTGAAACTATTAATGCATATATTATCACTATATTTTACGCATGTAAAGATATTTTGAAATGAAATTTTTTTTTTTTTAATTCATTCATTTTATTTTTTTACTTCTAATAAAATAAAAATCCTTTAATAGTAATATAGAAAAACGATGTTTTTCGATTAAAATTATTTTTTATATGTAATTACTAATTATTATTATCAAATTAAAATTTAATACATTACAATTTACAATAACTTATTATAAATTATGAGGTACACTTAAATACTACTGTACAGTAGAGTGGCTTATACGTTTTACCTTTTTAGATTCTGAGCGAAACGATGCATGTATTGATCTTACAATAATGTGAATGTATTTTTATATTTTATTTTTATTAAATTTTTGTGTATGTATACAAGAATTGAAAAGATGTTGTGATCTTCAACATTGAGAGTGGTTTTTAATAGCAGAATGGATCTATGAACGGGTCAAAATTAAAGCTTCTCAGTATTTTCAAAATAATTAAAATATTTTTTAAAAAAATAAACAAAAAATTTATAAAAAAAGTATTTTTCCACGAAACCTGTTTTCAACAAAACCGATTTTGTTGTGTTAACTAATAAACGAATAACTGAAAATAAAATGTTTTATAACATTTAAAAAATAATTTAACTCGTTTTGAGTTATTTTTTAAAATTCTTCTATTATTATCGATAAAAATTATAGCTCACTCAAAAACCTTGAAAATCTGATATGAGGGCATTTAATATATGTTATTTATTACTAATAATTTAAAAATATTAAATTAAATTGGCATACTATTTTTTTAGTTTGAGTTTTAAGAAATAATGGAGCTAGAAGATATTTTGTTATAATTAAAACATTATTCTTGGGACTTAAAAATTTTACGTATACTATGAATTTTTATTGTACGCGTTAACATTTTTAAAAATATAGATTTATTAGCTATTAACTATTTATAGAATGAACTTATTATTAAAACTGTTTTATTACAAATTGGTGTTGACTCAAAAGTGAATAAAAATAATATCTAATATGGTCTAAGTATAAAGTATATACTTTTGTAATAATATAATAATGTAATGTTTTGATAAAAATTAAATTAACCTACCATACTACTAATAGTAAAATAAATAAAAATTATAATGATATTAAAAAAGATATTATGGAATATACTTGATATACTTATATAAGCTGACAAACTGTCCATTCTAAATCGTTTTTTGTATATAATACAAGTTATGTGATGATTCATTCGATATCTACTGTATAATAGAGCAGTACTCACTGACTTACCTTTGCTTATACTTTGGTTATTTTTAAACTTAATTGTTAAAATTAAAATATTCTGTATTATATTTAATTTTTTAGATTCTGAGTGGAGTGATTAATGAATAAATGAAAATGCTTGAACATATTTTAACATAAGGTTCCTAATAAATAGTTAATTTTCCAGTAAAAAATATCAAAAATATATAGTCACAATATTTTTATGAGCATTTAAATTTAATATTTTGAAAAAATGTATGAAAACCTTGAAAAACACTAATTATTTTAGAGTTAGAAAATTTATAAAAATTTTTTGTTAATACCTAAGATTTTAAAATTTGGTACAAGGTTCTTTATAAGTCGTACAACCTTTATTGAAAAAAAAAAAAACTTTTAGTCAAATTAATTTTTAAGAGCTTTTGAAGTACAAATCTTTACAACATTAGATAGTTACCCGAATAAAGTAATAGTATTACTACCAAAAGATTTTTGTTTTTTGTCATATCTATCTAAAATTTTCACAAAAGATTAATTGTTTAAATTATTATTTTCTTTGTATAAAACAATTTTTAACATTTTTTTAAAAATTATTTTGAATTATTTTTAGACATGCTTATTTTTAATTTTTTTTAATAAATTAAAAAAAAAAATAAATATTTATCGGGTCAAACTTCTTGAAAATTAAATATTTGTTTCTACATAAACACATATGAAGTTAGAATTATGACGAAAATTGTCAAAATCGCAAAAAAATGTAAACTTCTTTGTAGTTAAAAATTCATAAAAACTTTTCGCTGTTGATCTTAGTTTTAAAATTAAATAGATGATTTCTCATAAGTAGTTAATACTGAAACCATAAAATCTAAAAAATATACACAGACATTTATTTTTATAAGTATTTTAAGTTTAAATTTGGAAGAAATTTACTTATTAAAATAATAAAATTTTGTAAATTATTTTGTTATAATTTAAAAACATTATTCGTGGGATTTTGCAACTTTTACGTATATAATATTATGAATTTAATAAAATTACTAGGTGCAATGACATTTTTAATTTATCTTTAAATATTAACTATTTATACTATTTTACGGTAGTTACAGAAAGATGTTATTTAATTTTGAATTATTTTAGTTGATATAATATGGTAAAAATATATATTTTAATAATTAAATACTAATACTACTATAAATGAAATATTTTCTGAAAACATTATATTCACCTACTGTAATATGAAAAGTAAAATAAATTACTTTCATACATATCATATTAAAAAACATGTCATTGAATATAATTGGTAATATAGGTAGATAGACTATTTCTACTCAGAATCATTTTTCATATATAATGAATCCTTAAATTAAAATTTAACACATCTATCATAGTGATCCACACCACACCCAATATAGGTACAATAAAGCAGTATCCACTTTACTGCATTTTTTTAATACAAGTTTATTTTTATTTTTATAATAATTAAAATTTACATACGATTCGTGTATCACTTATAAATCACTTTTTATGAAAAAAATTAGTATCATAACAGTATTTTAAATGATTCAAACGTATGTAAATATATGAAACAATGCCGATTATAAAAATAAACATTATAATAAAGGTATATTCTTAAAATTTATTAAGTTTAAACAATTACTTTAATTTTTAAAAATATTTTATAAATCTTAAGATTTATTCAAAATCAAGTAGATAAATAATACCTTTTAAGTACAAACATTTTTTAAATCATTTATTTAATTTTATTAATCAGAATAGAAATATTTTTTGAACATTCAGACATTACAAAAATTATCCTAAGTAGAATTTATATAGATAAAAAATAAATAAAAATCATAAAAATAAAAATACATGTTGAGTTTAAATATCTACTCGAAACCATGGTTCAGAATTTAATCTGAAAGAAATTATAACAAAAACGAATATTTATTGAAAGAGGGTTCATATTTTTAATTACACATAAATAAACATATAAGTGTTCAACTCTTGTTCAACGTTCGATGTAAAACGAAAAAAAAATTTTTTAGTTAAAACTTAAAAATATTTATTAAATAAATGTTGCTCTTTTTTTATCGTTTCAAGTAAAATATCCCTGTGAAGTAAAATACAAAAAAAAAAAAAAATACTTTATAAAGACGTTAGAAAAGTCTATATTTATAATGAAAAAGAAAAGAAGACTTAACTATAAGCTTACTTTCATACAGAATATTAGTCTTTTTCATACCTGAAACTTCTTTTTTATAATAATCTTAACAAACTCGTTTAGTTTTATACTCATATTTCTGAAAATTTTGCCTTACTAACTTAGTCTTCAAAATATCAAAACAATATAATTACATTATCTTTAAATAAAATCTGTATTTAACTTATCTTTTAAAAATGTAATACTTATTAAATTAATTACCTACTTTTATTATTTCATGAAAACATATCAAATTATTTATAATTTAGCTTGTATTTTAATTTTATAATATTATGAATGTTCTTATTTTTTG